AGCAGAAATGCTAGCAGAGTAAACATGGTTCTGGAGAAAGGCCAATTTAGGATGCACCAGTTTTAAAAAATGATTTAGAAACAACAAGACAACATCCTAAGATGTACAGCTGTCTAGAAGAAAGCAGCAGGCTTCCAGGTGTATATCCAACATGTAAATACTCAGTAAAACTGGGTTCTCCTTCATGTGTTTGGGCAGACTATTTATAATTGGAGGATTCTAAGTTTGTACTTTTGGTTAAATTCACCCCAAGCTGTCCCTGTTTTTTAAAACTGTTTATGAAATACAGTGTAACCCACACAACCTTCTGGGGGTGGTGTTCTGTCTCATCTAGTGGCATTGAGACTACTTGAGAGAGAGAGAGAGAGAGAAAATGAGTCTGCTCTACACCCTTAGCTAAAGCAGTTGGTTTTTAGCTCATGCGGTAGAGGCTCATGCACTAAGCTCCAGAGATCCTAGGTTCGTTCCCGCCCTCGGTGTTACAGCGGCACTTACAACACTTTAAAGAAAAAAACATTTGCAGAACTAGCAAGTCTAGAATTTCACTCAGCATGCACCCCGACTGTGCTGGAAAAGCCTGTCAGAAGAGCTGGGTCTTGTTAAAGGGCCCTCAAGGCAAAGGGGATCACCCACGTGTTGTCCAGAGCTGGAGATCTGCCAGTGTCCTTGGGATAAAAATCCCTCCTTGATTTGCAATAAAGTATTTAATTTGATATACAGCCTTGATGTCACCAGTGTCCCAATAATTGTTTCATTCTGATTATCCCAGGTCTTCCAATTTGGGCCTGCCCCCAACTGCTTCATGGCGGCCTGACTGAGCTTTGGAAAGAGAGACAGAGTCCCTGAGATTCAGCTCAGCCAAGAAAGGACTTGGGCATCTGGGCCTGCATGCCTTTTCTCAGCTTCTAATGCATTGTGTCCGTAGCCCCTTTCCTAGTATCTCCTCAAGGGATCCTAAGACTGGAACAGGCCTGGATGTAGTGTTGCCTAGAATATGTGCCTTGCTTATCTGCTGCCCAAGAGCAGAATTTGCACCTGTCGTTGTATGGTCTCTGCATTCATTTTTGGTTGGTCATGGTGTTTCCTGCAGAATTCTCTGCGGTGATTTTGGCCTTTTGGAGTCTGCAGCAGAGAGAGACTCTAGGGCAGGGATTCTCAAACTCGGGGTCGGAACCCCTCAGGGGGTTGCGAGGTTAGTACATGGGGGGTCAAAAGCTGTCAGCCTCCACCCCAAACCCTGCTTTGCCTCCAGCATTTATAAGGGTGTTAAATATATTTAAAAGTGCTTTTAATTTATAAGAGGGGGTCGCACTCAGAGGCTTGCTATGTGAAAGGGGTCACCAGTACAAAAGTTTGACAACCACTGCTCTAGGGACCTGAAGACATTTTGTTTTCTTGTTATAGGGCCTGATCCTTCTCCCATTGAAGCCAATGGGAATATTGCCCTAGTCTTTCCATTTGTCCATCCTTGCCTTTGTCAGCAGGGGAGCCACCCTCCCTGTTACTGATTGTCTGGGTCCATCTTGCCTCTCTGTCGCTATCTCTCCTGTTTTTGTGGCAGAGTCTCTCTGTGGATATCCTTGCCTACTTGGCGTAGTGCAGCCCGGCTCCCCCAGACCCCACAACCTAGCCAACAGGGGGGAAGTTGAGGCTATACGTGGGGAGAACATTGTTCCCTAGGGGAACGGGTGATACGGGGTGGGATAACACGGAAGTCACTGGGGATTTTCTTCAGTGGGGGAACGTGAACACGAATGGGAGTTGCAAACGCCATGAAGTGGGGTTTGAGTTAATTAATGATGAACGTTGCTATGATTTGTTAACACCAACATTGTGCTCGGTGGTGTGCTGCACACAGAAAGTGAGATGATCCTGGCGCGAGGCACCATGGTTTGTCCAGACCAAGGACGTAGGAGATCTGGGCTCTTTTCCTGGCTTTGGGAGTCCCTTCTCCATTCTGCCTCTGATGCCCCTTTGCCTGTTATCTCTACGTGGACTGGGAGCTCACTGGGTCAGGGATTCTTCTCTTCTGTCTGTGCAATGCCCAGCACAGTGGGGCTCTGGGATCAGTGGTTTAGAAGACAAACGTGGAAGGAATAAGGGTGTAAAATGCTACAGTGACACCGCGGTGCTGCTGTAGTTCATCAGTGTAGATGCTATGTATGCTGGTGGGAGGGGTTCTCCCATCAGCACAGGGAACCCACCTCCCCAAGAGGCAGTCGTTAGGGTGATGGAAGAATTATTCCGTGGACCGAATGGTATCTCTACGGGGATTTAGATCAGCTTATCTACGCTGCTCAGGGGCCTCGATTTTTCACACTGCTGACAGAAATAGTTAAACCAACCGAATTTTCTTGTGTAGACCTGGTCTAGGTTTCCCTCTGGGAAGACACTCATGCAGTCAAGTCACAGTGTTCTTTCTCTCTCTGTTTTAAACAAATCACTGTCAGATCTCCTGAAATTAAGAAGGTTTCAGAGTAGCAGCCGTGTTAGTCTGTATTCGCAAAAAGAAAAGGAGTACTTGTGGCACATTAGAGACTAACCAATTTATTTGAGCATAATTAAGAAGTGAGGTCTGCCTCATGGGAGCTTCCCACTGAGAGGTGCAAAGGGAAGAAATCACCTGTGAGTCTCCCCTGCTGCAGGAGGTGCATTTCCCCCTCCCCCTGTTAAATCTGTCACCACAGGGGTCATGTGTTTCCTCCTCCCTTAGGCAGTTTCCCTTACTGCACTTGGTAAGAGCCAGGCTGCTGGGTGGGATTATAGCATAAAGGTGAGGGTGAGGGCCGGATCCTCGCACACAGCCTGTCAGGGAACGTGAACATTGGGCCTGTCACATCAGCCACACTATCAGAGGCTCGTTCACCTGCACATCTACATGCTTTGTGTGTGTATAAAAAGATCTTCTACACTTTCCACAGTATGCATCCGATGAAGTGAGCTGTAGCTCACGAAAGCTTATGCTCAAATAAATTGGTTAGTCTCTAAGGTGCCACAAGTACTCCTTTTCTTTTTACATCTACCAATGTGATATATGCCATCATGTGCCAGCAATGCCCCTCTGCCATGTACATTGGTCAAACTGGACAGTCTCTACGTAAAAGAATAAATGGACACAAATCAGATGTCAAGAATTATAACATTCATAAACCAGTGGGAGAACACTTAAATCTCTCCAGTCACTCGATTACAGACCTAAAAGTTGCAATATTACAACAAAAACAGACTCCAACAAGAGACTGCTGAATTGGAATTAATTTGCAAACTGGATACAATTAACTTAGGCTTGAATAGAGACTGGGAGTAGATGGGTCATTACACAAAGTAAAACTATTTCCCACGTTTATTCCCCCCCCCCCCCCCACTGTTCCTCAGACGTTCTTGTCAACTGCTGGAAATGGCCCACCTTGATTATCACTACAAAAGGTTTTCTTCCCCTCCCCACTCTCCTGCTGGTATTAGCTCATCTTAAGTGATCACTCTCCTTACAGTGTGTATGATAACACCCATTGTTTCATGTTCTCTGTGTATATAAATCTCCCCACTGTATTTTCCACTGAATGCATCCGATGAAGTGAGCTGTAGCTCACGAAAGCTTATGCTCAAATAAATTTGTTAGTCTCTAAGGTGCCACAAGTCCTCCTTTTCTTATTGGGGTTGTAGCAGAGCAAGTTAGCCAGGAAAGGGAGCTGTCCCAGGTGAGGCCCTGTGCTCTGCCTCTGGGGCAGAGACCACCTCTGGGCATGTCTACACTTGCCATTTAAAGCGGAAAAAGTCCGTTTTTTGTAGAAAAACTGTCGGAGCATCTACGCTTGCCAATGACTTTTTGTGGTGAAACTCAGAAGTTTCACCGCAGAAAGAAAACCCACTCCACAAGAGGCATACAGCTCTTGCCGGTGATGCTTTTGCGGTGATGTGCAAGTGAAGACACGTTCTTCCTGTTTACAGAGCTTTTAGCCTCCGTAGGATCTCCCACAGTGCCGAGGTGACCACTCTGGTCAGCAGCTCTGCTGCTCTGATGCCAGGTAAACAGACATTCACCCCTCCCCCGTAAAGCCCCAAGAACTTTGAAACTCCCCTTCCTGTTTTCTTGGCAAGTGCTCACCTGTCCTCTGGCCAGGTGACAATGGCTGTTCCACAGAGCAAATGATCCCCTGCTTGGAGCAATGCTGAGCTCCTGGAGCTGATCAGTGTCTGGGGAGAGGAGGCTGTGCAGGGACCCAGGATGCCCCGCGATCACCCCCCCTTCCCATAAGACCTATCGTCAAAATGGAGAGAGCTGCACTGTGGGATAGCTGCCCTTAGTGTGCTGCTCTCATCAGGGCTGGTCTTAGTCTCTAAAGGTTTCAGAGTAGCAGACATGTTAGTCTGTATTCGCAAAAAGAAAAGGAGTACCTGTGGCACCTTAGAGACTAACCAATTTATTTGAGCATGAGCTTTATTATTATTCGTATGCATCCGATGAAGTGAGCTGTAGCTCACGAAAGCTCGTGCTCAAATAAATTGGTTAGTCTCTAAGGTGCCACTAGTATGCCTTTTCTTTTAGTCTCTAAAGCAGCTGGTTCCTCTGGTGGAAGCTCTCCGGAGGACAGTCTGTACCACTCCTGATTTTGGAGGGATCAGAGTCCAGCACTCGAATGAAATGAAGGTTACCATTAGGTGAGGCCTTGGGGGTGGGAGTGGAGAGAACTCCCCCCCACACCTTAATTGCTGTTCGCTGCGCCCATTCATACAGTGAGCAAAATCACAGAGCCACGAGTGCAGATCTGAGCAACTTCTCCCCTCCAGTGCCAGACCAGAGCCTCCAGAAGTGGAGGTGCTCAGAGAATGGTGTTGCAGCCTAGATCAAGCTAGTAAAAGACTCAGATTACAGTTCCTGGGTGAATCAAGTCTCCTGCTTGGCAGATGTCTGTGGCTTGGTAAGGCCCGCCTAGGGGAGGGCACAAAGAAGGATGGGCTCTTTGCAGAGAGCTCTTGCAAAGTTGCCTCTCAGGAGTCAGTGTTTCAGAGATGCCTGTGACAGACTTTGGAGGTATAGCATTTGTCTTAAACTTTTCTATTGGCACAGGCCTCCTCCTTGCCTGGAGGAGCCTCTCTCTGTCTTCCAGGGATGAGGTCGTCCATCTCCTTGCTGAATAGCAGCTCTGTCTTTCTGTGCTGGGGAGACCAATGCTAATTGTCACATTTGGAGGCAGTAGCTGTGCTTTCAGGTAAGAACGTTCTTTGGAGTAAAACACTGTAGTGACTAAGGTTTTTTTTAAAAATTGGCTTTTTGAATTTCTGACAACATAGGTTTGTATTGTAGTGGGCTCTGTTCAAATAGCTGGACTGGAGCATGTGTGAGGAGAATACTAGTTCTGTACTAGCTCCATTGTTCAGGTTTGATCAGTATTGATTGTGATTATTAGTTGGAGCAGAATTTCAGCTATTCATCGCTGCTCATTGCCATACTACATTGGCTATCAGTGGTCCAGTCATGTGCACCAAATGCCTTCCCAGACCTTCCAGTGTCACTGAACATTAAGAAATGAAAAGCCAGGATGTGTAGGCATTTTTATTTTTTGTTAAAAGAATGAGTCTGAACTTGCTGTGAACCTGTCACAGCTTTAACTGTGAGAGTAAAGGAGGAAGTATGTATAGGGATAGCAGCTCAGGTGAGGAATTCCTATGTGATGCAAGGAAATAAGGTGCACTGTGCACTTCTTTAACAGGAAGAGCTCCCAGTGACATCCCACAGGACAGTGGGTATGGAGTGAGAATTTCTCTTCCCCAGCATTGCCTACAAGGTCAGTTACTAGCAATGGGTGATTAAAGGGAGGGAACTGCATAATGAGTTCTCGATGATGTGATGGGGGAAGAGGCTTTGAGGATAAACAATGGTCGGCTGCAGCTTCTTTTTACCAATAAGTGAACACCAAGCTTTGCAAGGCCCTGCCTGGAAAGGGAATGGCCACGCACTCAGCAACAGAACCAGACTCTCTCCTTTGTGCATCATGGCACTGGCCTGATTGTCCATTTGCTTGCTGCTGGGTGCCTTTTGTTTGTCTGTTTTGTATAATGCTGGTTTGTGGTGATCTCCGCCACTGATGTCGTGCGCCAAGGTCAGTTTCCTAATTGCAAAGCTGCGCATGAGATGTCAGGGAAGCTCCCAGGAACAGAAGCAATTACTTGGCAGCACCTGGACCACACCCTGGTCACCGGTTTGCCGAGGGTTAACCTGTAACTTCCTTATAAAGAACAAGAGGAATTGTGGCATCTTAGAGACTAACAAATTTATTCGAGCATAAGCTTTCGTGGGCTACAGCTCACTTCATCGGATGCAGTGAAGTAGCTCACGAAAGCTTATGGTCAAATAAATTTGTTAGTCTCTAAGGTGCCACAAGTCCTCCTGTTCTTTTTGCGGATACAGACTAGCACAGCTGCTACTCTGAAACGTAACTTCCTTGTGTTTCAGGGGGAGTTGGCAAAACTCTCTGAAACTTTCCATGTTCTCCAGCTGGGTGTTTGTCTGAAGCCATGTTTAAGACCCTATCATTTAGGTGAATGCTGATAAACTGGTTTTCCATTCTTAGATACTACACATACAGACCGTGTCTCTTTTCTACTTATGCAGCTGAGTAAAGAGAAACTGAGGCTTTGCTCACTTGCAGAGATTTTCTCAGTGAAGGGGAAGTGGAGGCAAACTGATACAATTTCAGTGCTGCTGGAAAGAAACTTTTGCAATTCCCTGGGGAACCATGAAAGCATGCAGTGTGCATAGCAAAGTTTATTGGGCCTGTCAAATAGTTGCTGAAGAGACGAGCAGGGGGTGGTAATATCTTTTATCGGAGACAAGCTTTCTCACCGACACAAGTGGGCCCTATAAAAGGTATTACCCTCACCCAGCTTGTCTCTCTAAAAGCCTGGGATTGGAGTAGTCAATAGGTGGACCACCAGAGACTTTTGAACAGACCCTGAAATCTTTTTATTTTCTTCTTATTATTTATTTATTAATATCATTATTATTATTTTCTCTGGAGTCCGGACCTTGACAAAAAAGAGACAACCCCTGTCTGGGACCAATAGCAATACAAGAGCACTGCTTATAAGTAGTTGCTGAAATTTTAATCCTCTGAACAACATGCGATTGGTCTCCATTATCTGGTGGAAATTCAAGACAGCATTATCTCAGTATGCTTTTTGTCTCTCAGGCTTGAAAAAGACTGAAACTGGATGCCACATGGATTAACACACGTGTAGTTTTATTATTTTCAGTATCCTTCTGATAAAATTAATCTGCGCTGGGTGTATGAGTTGGTGTGTTCAATGAATATTGCTTAGAGGCCAGTATGTATGGATCTGTCTCGCACTCATCATAGTATCTAAGCACCTATGTTGTTGTTCAGTATGGAAAAAATAAGGATAGACTGAAACCATTTCACAGCAAAATGTTGATTGAATCAAATGTATTTGAAACCTGCTTCCTGTGCATACAGCTGTTATAAAGTGCTATGTGCATGGCTGACGGCCTTTTATCCCTCTGTCCCAGGGCCCTGGTGCCAGGGGCCTGACCCTCTGCAGAGAAATGTATTGTTATTTCTCCTGCTAAAGTTTCCCCGTTTGTTTTGGCTGGTTTAAGGTTTTGCAAATGGCTGAGGAGGGAGATGCTTACAGGCCCGGCCTTGCTGGTGTGTTAAGTAACATGTGTGAGCCCCTAACCAATTCCATTCCCTAAGAGACTCCTCCCACCCCCCACCCCCCATCCTCCCCCAGGGAGCTCTCTAGTGGTTTTCTCTGGCTATCCCTAATCTCCAGTGGTTTTCTCTGGCTATCCCTAATCTTTCTTCCTATCTTTCCTTCCTCTTGCTGATCAAGACTTTAGTTGTTTTAAGATTTCCCCTGCCCTTGCAGATTGTAATGGGCTCCCACCCCCACCTGAGCTGTGGTTGGACCCGATGGTGCCCTGGAACGACTGCATGGTGGTGTGTAAGGTCGGCGTACACCTCAGCTTCCTGCTGCCGGCTCCGAGGGGAGAAGCACAGGCTTGTGGTTACACCGTTTGTGACTCTACCACAGGCTACCTCTGGGACAGGCCACACCTCTGTGCGTCAGTTTCCCCATTTGTAAAAATGGGGATGAGCACACCCCAGGGAGGTAGGGGAGTATTATAAGTTAAATTCACCAATGTTTCTGCTGCACCAAGGCTCTCTGGGAATCGGAGCCATGTGTATAACGACACGTCTTCACAAGCAACGTTTAAGCGTGCAGCACTTTAACGTGGCTGTGTAATCTCTCCCAGCGCTGTAAAAACCATCTCCACCAGGGGAGTAGCTCCCAGCACTGGGAGTGCGGGTCCCCAGTGCTGTACCACGGTCTGCATTGCCACTTTACAGCCCTGAAACTTGCAGCACATGGGCGGGGGGCGGGGGGGGTTCCACACCCCTGAGCGAGAAAGTTACAGCGCTGTAAAGTGGCAGTGTAGACAAGGCCCAAGTGGATAGATCAAGAGACTGTCTTTAGCTGAGCTTTTGAATCTGGCTGCTTCTGTGTTGTGCTTTCAAATTCCAGGCCAGTTCATGCTGCATGTTTGCACAATTAGCAAGGTGCGTGGGGAGAGGCAGGTGGGGCACAGGTGATAACCAGGTTGGACTGGCTATAGTAACCTCATTACTGGGTTACCAACAATATTGTGAGCAGAGCAAATTCTGCTGTCCTGCGTGGGTAGACTCTGAAACATCCGGGAAAAGGAGGCAGTATTGTTTGCTGGAGTGGGATACCATGAATGAGGACTCCTGGGTTCTGCTCTCAGCCTTGGGTAGCGGCCTCATTAAAGGGAATGACTCATGCAAGGGAACTGCAAGTCAGGACTCATGGGGGTTCTGTTCCTTTCTCCGTCAGGCTTGCTGTATGGTTTTAAGTGAGCCATTTTACCTTTGCATGGTGTTAAGTATCAGGGGGTAGCCGTGTTAGTCTGTATCCACAAAAACAACAAGGAGTCTGGTGTCACCTTAAAGACTAACAGATTTATTTGGGCATAAGCTTTCGTGGGTAAAACACCACTTCTTCAGATGCATGGAATGAAAATTACAGATGCAGGCATTATGTACTGACACATGAAGGGAAGGGAGTTACCTCACAAGTGGAGAACCAGTGTTGACAGGGCCAATTTGATCAGGGTGGATGTAGTCCACTCCCAATAATAGATGAGGAGGTGTCAATTCCAAGAGAGGCAAAGCTGCTTTGTAATGAGCCAGCCACTCCCAGTCCCTATTCAAGCCCAAATTAATGGTGTTAAATTTGCAAATTAATTTTAGTTCTGCTGTTTCTCTTTGAAGTCTGTTTCTAAAGTTTTTTTGTTCAAGTATAGCTACTTTTAAATCTGTTCTAGAATGTCCAGGAAGATTGAAGTGTTCTACTGGCTAAAGCACTTCAATCTTCCTGGACATTCTGTAACAGAAGTGGTGTTTTACTCACGAAAGCTTATGCCCAAATAAATCTCAGTGAAGTTTCAATGAAGTCACACAAATGAGGGTCATTCTTGTCAGTTGCCAGCTTGTGCAGATCAAGGAGTGACTGGTTCACATTCTTTTCCTGGTGCAAGGCACACTCCATTGCTGTCGACCCATTCTCCTAATCATCACGATCTGGTTTCTTGATGTCCTGCAAAAAGATGCGACCGCCCCTCTAGTTCTGCAGCTTCATGAGTTTTTCAGCATGCTCACACTCCTCCTCCTTTAAGGTGCCACCAGACTCCTTGTCATTTTCCCCTCTGTGTTTCCATTACTCTCATCTGCAAAATGGGGATAGCAATAGCCTAAGAGGGCAATGAGGATTAGTGAGTTCATGTCTAATAAGCCTGACCTTAGAACCTTGAGATGGAAGGTGCCAGAGAAGGAAAAATAAATGGAAAAATTGGGGCAGATGTTAATGGCCTCTCTCTGGCTCTGAGCTGAGCTTCCCTCCACCCTTCGCTCCACTGCAGGGCGGTGCTGACTCCCAATTTTCATGCAGGCAGATGCCAGGGAAGAGCTTCTGAATAGCTGCAAAACACAAACGCTGGTTTCTCCAATGCAAATGTTTTCTGCCACTCAGCATGGGATGTTGGCTGCAAAAGGAAATGATGATGGAGCTTGAAATTACATTAGGTGCCATGTACCTTCATCTTGTACAGCTTCTCCCTTTGCAAACTGCAACTCAGATACCTCATATGGCTAAATAGCAGCAAGTAATGTGGGGGACGACGACGAAGAGGCTTAGGCCAAGGCAAAAGTGGTTGTTTCATATTTGTTTTGGAAAATAATGGAGGAGAGGCAGGGAGGCTGCTCTGGATTGCTGTAGCTCCAGAGGAGAGGACTCTTGTACCCACAGTGGTGAGGAAGAGCTGAAACCCACCCTATGTAGGGAAGGGTAACAGGCAGGGGAGGGGAGTATGAAAAGGCCTGTGAGGTCAGGTGGACTCCCAATGGTTCTCAACCAGGCGTTTGTGTACCCCTGGGGGTACCTCAACTCCTCTAGATATTTGCCTAGTTTTACAACAGGCAACATAAAAATCCTAGCAAAGTCCATACAGACTAAAATTTCATACAGACAATGACTTGTTTATACTGCTCTGTGAACATAAACTGAAATGTAAGTAAAATATTTATATTCCAATTGATTTATTTTATAATATGGTAAACATGAGAAAATAAGCAATCTTTCAGTAATAGTGTGCTGTGACACTTGTATTTTTATGTCTGATTTTGTAAGCACATCGTTTTTAAATGAGGTGAATCTTGTGGCACGCAAGACAAATCAGCCTTCTGAACGGGGTACAGGAGTCTGGAAAGGTTGAGTACCACTGAGCTGGAGGGATTTAAAATCAAGGCTTGAATATGGGGAGCTGGAGCTCCCATTGTTGCTTGGGCTCAGTCCCTGCGTGCCAGAGTCACTTTCTGGTTCTGAGGGATTAGGGGGTACCCTTCTGGATGTACAATGCACAATTGCATGTCTGATGGCATTTGGGAAATCCAGTGCAAGCGTAGTTGCTGACTCTTCCCTGCAGCTGTACTGATTCTGCTGTCCAAGGAAAGGTCGAGCCCTGCTTAGCCTAGGATGCAAACATCCCGAGGAGTAAATCTCCTCTTCCAGAGATGACAGACCCATTTCTGTGCTGATAATTGTCACTGTTTGAGTGAGTGGTCTAATGCCTCATGACATCGACTGGGATAATTCCCTAAAATGTTTAGTGGTTTTTCCAAATAAATCAGCTTCCATTAGTCTGACTTTGCATCTGCTCTGGGCACCTGATCCTCATTGACTTCACCCAGATTGCTGATTTGGGCTTCCACAGGACAGTCGAGAAGCGTATTTTAAAATCTGAAAGAGGTATGTGCTTCTGTTGTGTAGGATTTATCACCTTGGAGACCATAGCCCAGCTAGTCCCATACCCTGCTTCCACCAGCAGCATGTACCTGATGCTTCAAGGAAAGGTGAACAGCCTTTCCCAACACTAGAGTGCACCTGGAGCCCCTGAGTCTTTCCAGGGACTTCAGTGGCTTTGGCTCAGGCTCCTGCTCAATTGTGACTGCTCAGCGTGGGTGTGGGGAGGGGGAGAGTCGCTCCCTGACCCAGGCAGGGGATTAGCTGATACCCTGGAGTATGAGATTCGATTGCCCAGACTCTCAGTACTCATCTGCCCCTTGGCAGACTAGTCTTGCAGCGCCCACCCCCTCTGGAAGGATTAGTAAGACCTGGGAACAGAGTGGAGTTCAGGACCAGCCAGGAGTTACCTTCAGGCATTGAGTTGTGCTGCATCCTCTGCATACTCTTCCTGGAGTCGATAATACTCTCGGGCCCCTGTGGCCCAGCATCTTGTGCAGTCACTCACAGGAGTGCAGCGTCAGACGCCCAATTTGTCTTCACCGTGCACTGCAGTGAACGACTGCATGAGGCAAAGGAGAAGTAGCAAAATAAATTCAACCAATTTAAGAGCTGTGCACTCAAGCCAGGAGCCACGGTGCTGGGGGTTGGGTGACAGCTGCAGGGAATCAAAGGTTCTGTCAGATTTTTGCTTGATGTTTGACTGATAAACGTCTGTGTTATGTGCTTTATTTTACATTTCTGAAGTAGAGCAGCTGGAGCAACAATAACAATTGCAGTTCTGTCTCCCACACATAGCTGCTTGGTCGGGAAGCAGATATTCCTGAGGAGGAATCCCTTATCAGATTAGGGCAAATCTCTGAGGCCTGATCTGTTTCCGGAGTTGTGCTGCATCCTCTGCATACTCTTCCTGGAGTCGATAATACTCTCGGGCCCCTGTGGCCCAGCATCTTGTGCAGTCACTCACAGGAGTGCAGCGTCAGACGCCCAATTTGTCTTCACCGTGCACTGCAGTGAACGACTGCATGAGGCAAAGGAGAAGCAGGCACCTGGTTTACAGGACATGGGGGAAGGGCTGTCATGGCTTCCGGTTCTCGTTCACCCTATTTCACTTTCATTAGACTCGTGTCTGTAGCAAATGGTGAAGTTTGTCCTACCTACGCTGTTTCCTGTTCTGTGTCTCAGGCTCCGTCTGCTCTAGAAACGCTAGAGAGGCAGAGCTGTGCTGCTGCGGTGGAGACACTGGCTACAGCCGCCGTTCTTTCGTCACTGTGGTATGTCCACCTCTCCGCGAGCAGTGATAGATCAATGGAAGAGTTCTTCTGTCGACTTACCTGTGTCTGCACCAGGGGTTCAGTCAACCTAACCGTGGCGCTGAGGGCGCAAACGTTTTCCCAACTGAGTGCTGTGTGCAGTGTCGACCAGGCTGTAGAGTATTAGCTCAGTGTGTCTCTCGGGGGCTGTAAACGGGGGCTGCTTTGCATGCTAGTGGTTGAACTAACACGACTCTCTCCTGTCCTCAGGGACTATAAAGATGAGGCACTGCTACTACAACGAGAGCGTGGGGTTCTTCTACAACAACAGCCACAAGGAGCTGACCTCCTACTGGAGGACCAAGGACGTCCTGGTCGTTGCCCTGGGCCTGACAGTCAGCGTCATTGTGCTCCTGACCAACCTGCTGGTCATCAGCGCCATCGTTATCAACCGGCGCTTCCACTACCCCATCTACTACCTGCTGGGGAACCTGGCGGCGGCGGACCTCTTCGCAGGCATTGCCTACATGTTCCTCATGTTCCACACGGGGCCCAGGACAGCAGGGCTCTCCCTCCAGACCTGGTTCATCCGGCAGAGCCTCCTGGACACCAGCCTGACTGCCTCGGTGGTGAACCTGCTGGCCATCGCAGTGGAGAGGCACCAGACTGTCTTCACCATGCAGCTGCACAGCTCCATGTCCAACCAGCGCGTGGTGATCCTGATCATCTGCATTTGGGTCACAGCCCTGCTGCTGGGCCTCATCCCGTCCTATGGCTGGCACTGCCTGTGCGACCTGGGCAACTGCTCCAGGATGGCGCCCCTCTACAGCAGGAGCTACTTGACCTTTTGGGCCCTCTCCAACCTGGTCATCTTCCTGATCATGGTGGTCGTCTACACTCACATCTTTGTCTATGTCAAGCGGAAGATGACGCGCATGTCCAAGCACACTAGCTTCCACCCCCGCTACAAGGAGACCATGATCAATCTCATCAAAACTGTCATCATCATTCTCAGTAAGTTGCTTCCTGCTCTGCATGGTGCCATGTGGCTCCTTCCCTTGTCTGCCCAGGTGCTGGGGAGTAAGAGAGGGAAGGAGGTGTCCAGTACAGTGAGATGGGGGGAGGTGGTTTTGAGCCACCCTCCTGTTCCCCTGGGGCTCCGGGGGGATGGTTTGGCCTCTGGTGTAACTTAGAATCATAGAACATCAGGGTTCTGATGGGATCTCGGGAGGTCATCTAGTCCAACCCCCTGCTCAAAGCAGGACCAATCCCAACTAAATCATCCCAGCCGGGGCTTTGTCAAGCCTGACCTTAAAAACTTCTAAGGAAAGAGATTCCACCAGGACTGCTCTAACCTACATGCAACTGCAGTGGCTCCCATGGGGGTGTTTTGGGGAACACTGACTTGCCAGTACACTATGGCTGTCTCACCTTTTCCAGGCTCTCCCCCAGCACCTCCACCACACCCTGGGGCTGCAAGGGGGTCGCATAGATCCAGCTGTGCCATCCGTATGCCACCGGGGGCTTCCTTCAGGCTGGGAGAGTCCTCAGACCTGCTGGCTTTTCAGTTAAAGGGGCAGTTGAGGGGCTAAGAATCCAGCCCGCTGCCCTGTAAAAAGAGGGCTGTTGCTTTTTATTAGTTTCCTAAATGTGTTTCAGTGACACAGCCAGAATTGTGTAGAGGAGTTGATCACCAGCTGTCTATCGCAACCGTCTGTCTCGGAAGACTGGTGTCCGTGCCAAAGCAGTTCTCGTACTGAGTGTCATGCTGCAACATCACAAGTGACTGAGGACGTCCCGTTCACAGGTGACAGTCCTTGTCACAAATAGTGCAGGTGTAAAGCACAGGGCCCGAGGATGGAGCTGGGGCACTACTAGCCCTTGAGACCGGTTGCACTTTGCTCTCTTTGCAGATGACACTAAAGTGGGAGGAGAGGTAGATACGCTGGAGGGCAGGGATAGGATACAGAGGGCCCTAGACAAATTAGAGGATTGGGCCAAAAGAAATCTGATGAGGTTCAACAAGGACAAGTGCAGGGTCCTGCACTTAGGACGGAAGAATCCCATGCACTGCTACAGACCAGGGACCGAATGGCTCGGCAGCAGTTCTGCAGAAAAGGAACTAGGGGTGACAGTGGATGAGAAGCTGGATATGAGTCAACAGTGTGTCCTTGTTGCCAAGAAGGCCAATGGCATTTTGGGCTGTATAAGTAGGGGCATTGCCAGCAGATCGAGGGACGTGATCGTTCCCCTCTATTCGACATTGATGAGGCCTCATCTGGAGTACTGTGTCCAGTTTTGGGCCCCACACTACAAGAAGGATGTAGATAAATTGGAGAGAGTCCAGCGAAGGGCAACAAAAATGATTAGGGGTCTGGAACACATGAGTTATGAGGAGAGGCTGAGGGAACTGGGATTGTTTAGTCTGCAGAAGAGAAGAATAAGGTGGGATTTGATAGCTGCTTTCAACTACCTGAGAGGTGGTTCCAGAGAGGATGGTTCTAGACTGTTCTCAGTGGTAGAAGAGGACAGCACAAGGAGTAATGGTCTCAAGTTGCAGTGGGGGAGGGTTAGGTTGGATATTAGGAAAAACTTTTTCACTAGGAGGGTGGTGAAACACTGGAATGGGTTACCTAGGGAGGTGGTAGAATCTCCTTCCTTAGAAGTTTTTAAGGTCAGGCTTGACAAAGCCCTGGCTGGGATGATTTAGTTAGGATTGGTCCTGCTTTGAGCAGGGGGTTGGACTAGTCGACCTCCTGAGGTCCCTTCCAACCCTGATATTCTATGATTCTATGATTCTCTCTCCACCATCCCTCTTCAGCCTCTTTGACTCCAGAGTAGCCTGTTCCCTGCTGCATCTTCCCAGCTTGGGATGTTGATTTTGAAGGGTTTCAAGTCCCTCTTGCAAATGTCTGTGAACCTGAGCCTAGGTTGGCCGAGTGGCCTCGGAGCATCTGCAGATCCTTCATACAGGAGATCCTCTGGAATGTGTCAATCATCCATCCGGTGAAGATGTCCAGAGTAGTGATTAGACTTGGCAATTTTGGCATCCGGAACCTTGGTGTCTCACTTGATATTTAGAATATGGCGAAGGTCGTGGGTGTGAAAGGTATTTAGCCTTCTCTCACACTTGCTGTAGGTGGTCCAGGTCTCACCGTCATGCTTGAAACGCACGTCTGGTAGATATGTATCTGGGTGTTCACTGTTCGTTTTCTGTTATCTCCCACACATTGTCAGTTGGCTGAATGTGGTAGCTGCCTTTCCAATTCGAGAATTCAGCTCCTTATCTAGAGTTAAGTTATCCGATACAGTTGATCCTAGATAGCAGAACTTATGCACCACTTGTAGCGTGGTGTTAGTTATTGAAACGTCTGGGGCAGTCACCGTACCTTGTTCCATAACCATTGGACTAACCATCCGTCTAAAGAAAATAAATCCATTGCAAGCTCCACCGACGCTGTAGCATCTGAATGCTTTCCAGAATCACCACGCACAGTATAAAATCCATCACGGGGTCCACTCAGCTTCCTTCCTCCTGACAGCCACGTGGAGAAATGATCCTTTATTTCTTCTTTCTTTCATTCCTTGTCTCACCCCTGTCTCTCCCTTTCCTTCTACCTTTCTTTTCTTTGCTGTTGTTGAGGGAAGGCCCAGCTAAAGGGGTGAGTTTGGCATTTGCCCCGGCTTCTAATTGGAGCACCTGGAGGAGATACTTAGGAGGGTAGTGCAACCCTCCAGTTCTCTTATCTCCATTCTCTGTGAACATGGCCAGCAGCTGTGGCTCTTAAAAGAGCCTGAGGTGGTGGGGGAAGAAGATGGGATGTTCCATCAGAGAGCAAAGGCTGAGCTTTGCCCAGTGCAGACCGGGAACGTGAGCTGTGTATTGACACCACACCCCATGTCTGGCTGTCTGGGGGTGGGGGTGCGCTTTGGCAGGCACATGCTCTGCTCAACGTGTTCTGCTCTCCTAAGGGGGGCGTTGCCTGTGGACGCCAGTGGAGCTGGGAGCAGCTGTACTGGTGTGGAGGCTTCTAGAGAAGCTGTCACGGGCACCGACTTTCAGCTTTCCCTGGGTGTACTCCAGCCCCGCCCGGCGTGGAGGCCCCGCCCCCACCCTGCTCCTTCCCACGAGGCTCCACCCCCTATTCTGCTTCTTCTCACCCCCATTCCTCCCCCTCCCCCCAGCATCTTCTGCCCGCCACCAAACAGCTGATCAGCGGTGGGCAAAAGGCTCTGGAGGGGGAGGAGCTGGTCGGCGTGTGGCCACTGGTGGGCGGTGAGCATCCACTCTTTTTTTATTTTTATTTTTTTCCCTTGGAGCACCCACGGAGTCGGCACCTACATCTCCTGCAATACAAGGGGATAAGGATGATGAAACCAGATTTCACTCAGGTATTTTCAAATGGGCCAGGGGAGATTTGTGCACCACTCTGGTCCAAAGTCGGTGGGATTTGGGCATGTAACTCTCATGGGGTCTTTGACACACCTGACTTGGGTCCTGCCTGAGGTTTGTACTGAAACTGCTCTGAGAATTATATCACTGCAGAGACCCTGAAACACCAGGTACTGTCTGCTCTACAGAAACAGTAAAGCCGCCAGGCGGAGCTCTCTGTGAGACCCCCATGGGCTAAACTCCCTGTTGGTATAAATTGGTGAAGCTCCATTGAATGCAGCACAGGTCTGGCAAAGTACACCAAGATAATCTGCCCAAGGTTTGTCCCAGTCTCCTGGCCCAGTGTTGTGCATTGCGGCTGCTGCCCTGCACCCCAGAGACAGCTGCATGTTAGTGTTTTTGCGTGTATATGGTCTCTAAAGGTCATTAGGGAGTTTGGGTGAAAGGCGTCAGACACAGGTGAAATATTATTTGTAATTATGACCATTCAGGCTGCAGCGCCCGTACCTCAGTGCCGTGTAACAGTATCGCAGTGCCAGGGCTTCCCTGCAGCGTTCACAGCTATTGCAGGCCAGGACCTTGGTGTAGAGTGCCTGGCGACTGCAGGGCCAGTGCAGGGAAATTTTCTGATTTTTTTTTTTTAATTTCTTGCTGTCCCATCCTTCATGATACAAAGTGCTTAATGAAAATGAAATAAACATGTTAAGCGCCTCTGCTAGGGTGACCAGATGTCCTGCTTTTATTGGGACAGTCCGGATATTTGGGGCTTTGCCTTATATAGGTGCCTATTATCCCCCATCCCAATTTTTCACACTTGCTGTCTTGTCATCCTAACCTCTGCAGCCCAGCTCACATCTGAGCCTATGGTCACGCTCCCCAGCTTGCAGTTCTCTCCTGATAAGTGCAGAATTTGCTCAGTCAGGGAAACCTTCAAGCTGCAAACAAAGAAGCTACTCCCTGGAAACTTCTGCTGGCAGAGCTGGGGAGGGGGCGGGGGCAGCAGGAATCTGAGTTGTGTGGTTCCTTGGTGTCTCCCTGCTGGAGGAGAATGAGCACTCACATCCTGTTGCAACTTGCTAACACAGTGCTACGGTTTTTTGTGTTTTCCTGCCTTAGCTCAGTCGTTCTCAGACTTTAACAGCTCACGAACCCCTTTCACTAAATTGTGAAATCTTGTGAACCGCCTCCTAAAAATGAATATGTCCAGGGATTTAAGTTTAAATTTCGTCCGCAATCCGTGGGGCTCCTGCTGCTGGACGCTGTTGACTGCCCCGGTCAACTGAGCTCCACTGAGCTTGGGTTGCAGGTCCCGCTGACCACCGGGGCTCAGGCTGCAGCCCCAACTGCCCGGCCCCACTCTCCCTGGGGCTTGGGCTGCCAACCCCATGCAGAGCGTTGGGGCTTGGGCTATTAGCCCAAACTGCCTGGCCCCGCTCTCGCTAGGGCTCGGGCTGCCAGCCCCATGCAGAGCGTTGGGGCTTGGGCTGTTAGCCCAAACTGCCTGGCCCCTCTCCCAGGGCCCCCCCGCGTTGGGGCTTGGGCTGTTAGCCCAAACTGCCTGGCCCCGCTCTCGCTAGGGCTCGGGCTGCCAGCCCCATGCAGAGCGTTGGGGCTTGGGCTG